AGACACGGAGACACAGCATGCCTGCGCCCAAAATACAGTGTAGCAGTGTTTAGGGATTAAAAATTGGCATTTGTTTTAATAATTCTTCATTGTAAGGGACATTTTAGACCCCAAGGGACCTTGAATAAATAATTGACTATTGCCTGGATAGGAGCTAGACAGATGATGCATTTGCATTTTCCCTTTTGTTCTTTTGAATGTCTGGAAGCCTGTCAGTTTGAAGGAGCCAGTTTATCAGAGCAAGGATAAGGAAAAGATAAAGTCAGTGTCCTTTCACATGTTAGATATAGCTTCTGCACTTGGATATATGTGATCCTCTGTTGGAAATATTTAATGCTAAATTAATCTGAAATGAGTTTGTCATGAGTTTATTTTTTTTTCTGAGTTGAAAATATGCAGAAAATATTTGGAATTACATTTTTTTTCTTGTTAGAGTGAAGTGCAACTTGGTGTGGAATTGCTGATACATTTATTGTTTTGTGTGAATATTTTTTTTTTCTTGTAAGTATTGCTAGTTAATTCCTTTATGCTTGTTGGCCAATTATCTTCTGAGTTAGAAGGACCACTTTTGTAAGATCTCCTTTTGCTATAGTCTCTTGTAGGTATGAAAGTTGGCTTGCCTTCTAGCATAGTGTCAGGAAGTTCATTTTTGTTATTCATTTAGAGCCTTCTGTTTCAGATTTTGACATGCATTTTAGCTCATTAAAATTAGGGTCAATTAGCACAGTAAAAGCTAATTTTGTTGTACAATTAGTCCCTAAAGCCTCGTACAAACATTTTTGGTGCTTTATTATTCTAACTTTTACATTTACATAGATGGAGCTTTATGTGTTCCTTCCTATCAATTTCAGAGAAGTTCAAGAAGAGCTGTCAAAACATTTTAGGGAAAGTTAAGTATTAAAAAAAAGTCATTGAAAACTATCATCAAATAATAAAATAAAACTGAGAAATATTTCACTAATCATTGGTAATAGGAGTGGCCACCTGTTGTTCAAGGATTATCTTGCTCTGAAGAATCTAGAAAACTGCAGATGGCATTTAATGAGTGCAATAAAGCTCTTGAGCCTCTGAAGCAGTTGGTGGAATATTGTGTATACATCGAGGGATTGGACCTGGCTCTCAAAGTTGCCAGATTCTAGCTGGGCTCAGTGGTGATCTTGTGTAGTGGTAGTGCTTGTAATCTCAGCTACTCCTGAAGCTGAGGCAGGAGGATTGCAAGTTTAAGGCTAGCCTGGGTAATTAGTGAGATCTTGTCTTAAAATAAAATAAAAAATAAAAATACAGAGCCAGGAGCATACCTCATGCCTAGCTTGCAAGAGGCCCTGAAAAGTCAACTCTGATTATCCAAGGAAAGGGAAGGAAATAAGTGGTGGAAAGGAAAGATTACACTTAGATTCATTTTGTACCAGGTATATGGTTACTCCAACCTGTGAATTCAGTATTTACTGAGAAGTTAGTGAGGCAGATTGCTCCACTGCCTGCTCTCCCAAAGGAACTATGCTTGGGAGGAGGGGAGGCTCACATAATTCAGATTTCTGGATCTTTGTGTTAGAGACCTGGTAATCAGAACTGATAAGTTTTGATCATGTATTGTCTTAAAGACCAAGCATATTTCTGGCATGATCAAGTTGCCCCTTATCCTTGCTATTTCTCATTCAGTTAGATCTACAGAACCTCTGAATAGATGCTGGCTGTACTTGTGTATATGTAGAACTTAACTTTATTTGCCTTACGTAGAAGATAAGTTGCATCAGAATGCCCAGAGACAATTGAAGCGAGCCTGAGAAAGTTGTGGGGGTGGTGTGAGGTGGTGACAGGGTCTCAGGAAAAGGCTTTCTTCTAGAGGACAGTGGCCAGAGTTAACAAACATCCTTGGCTATGTTTTGTTTTTATAACAATTTGTTAAATGAAATGATACATAGAAATCTACTTTATAACAGTTAAATCTAGGAGAGATTTTTTGCTTTTTTAGTTTTCAGTAGATTTGGTTCTGATTTTTTTTTAGTGAAACTTTAAAAGATACTTAAAAAGTTTCATCTCATGTAAGTTCACCTATGTTGAGGAAATGGGGAGGGAAGGGGAAGTAAAAAGAATTAAGATAGGTTATATTGGTGTGCCGACTCCCTATAATGAATGGAATCTTCAAGTACTGCAAACATGTGCGTACTCATGAAAAAAAGTTTATCATCGTTGCTGAACCAGGCTTGTTTTGCCCACTGTAAAGTGTGCTAGTCACTGAAATGAAGTCTTGCAAAGTAGACTTTATTCATGAGCTAAGGCACTAGTTGTGAGGAGGTGGGAGCCTTGAATCTCAAATCTGCCTGCCCAAGCGTAGAGTTTAGGGGTATTTATAGGACCAAGAATTAGGGTGGTCTGAAGCATAGGGATGGGTGATTAGAGACAGGGAAAGGTGAAGTAATCTGTGGTCTGCTCATGCGTAATCAGACTTCATGGCCCTACATAGGACACATGTTCAGAAATGTCAGTATGATCTGAGGGTAGAGTTTTCAGCTCTCCTATATCAGAAGGTCACTCACTGGACACTTGTGCAGGCCAAATGAAACGTCAGTGGTTTCAGCTGTTTTGAGACAGTGAAGATCCTGAAAAACAGCATGGGCCAATGTTATCATCATGACCCATCCATCGGAGGTTTTACACGGCAAAGCCAATGGAAATGTACTGCTTGGCCATCACGTCACTGATAAAAGCAAGTAACTAAAAGCAAGTAACTAAAAGCAAGCGAAGCTAGAGGTTTTATTCACTTTCCCTCAGTTTTACCTACAGTTTGTGTCGGATCAATATCTGTTGAAGAATTTGGGTGTATCTTCAGCCTGAAGTGAAATGTAGTCATTTTACAGTAGGAGAGTGGTCATTTATTATTTTTGTTTACTATGGCCTAGGTTCTTTTGAAGTACTTTAATCCTCAAAATAATTATATGAAATAGCATCACTATTAACCTATAGATGAGTAAAATAAAACGTAGAGGACTTAAGTATGTTGGCCAGGGTCACATAGTAATTGCAGAGCTTGCATTCAAACTCCTGTCTCTTTATGCTTCCTAAATAATTTCAGTCTTACAACTTTTTATGGATGTTATGATCAGAGACTTCTCTTATAGTGGCAGAGTTAGGGTTCATTTTGAAAATGGCTGGGATGTTTGGTTTTAGAGTGGTATTATGTTAATTCTTCATGGTCAAGGAGTGCCTTTGTCTGCTGTTAATAGTTTGGGAAATTGTTTACATTCAATAAGAAATACCAAGGTCTAGTTGTGACCCAGTTCAGTTTATAATAACATTAAGTCCTAGGTGATAATACCAGGTCAGCTGCTGGATGTTAGAGAGATGCTTAGTGACAAAAAGAGTAGCAAATAAAGATTGAAGTATATACTCGGTCAAAAATACCTACCCATTAAAACAAAGGAGTTGAGAATGACATTGGGAATCATTTGTGTAATTCAGAGTAGTAGAAGACATTCTTTTCTGTTAGATTTTCTAGGCTCTAGAAATAAACATAAACTTGAGGGTTTTGTTTTCAAGAAGTTTTGTAGAGTAGTTAGAACACTTAAAAACATCAGTAGGAAGAGTGAAGCTCAAGAGAAGCTTTTTAGGAGAAATATAACTCTCAACTTGTTAGATGTCAAATGTATTGAGTTTGTGGTCTCATAAATAAGGAGAAGAATAGCTCCTGGGTCCCCAAGTGGGTGGCCACAGAGGCCCTTTGTCAGGGGTAATTTATACAGCAAACTCACAATGGGGGTCAGACTATAATTAACCTATAGGATTACAAGTTGAGCTGCTTAGCTAATACTGACACAGTAGGGAAGAGTCATGTGGTAGGGGTACATGGAAAGAACAAAGGTGTGTTTGGGAAGGGTTGGTCTAAATGCTGTGGTCACTCACCTGGCTGTCTGATGGACTCACTGGACCAGGTGGTGCTAATTACAGTATAATCCCAAGTTACTGTTTATCCCTTAGGGAGGCCTGCAGGCCGGCCATTGCATCTTCATCTTGAGGCCTGGCCTTCAGATTTGCCTCTAGGCACAATTCTGATGTCTTTATTTTTTGTGCTGATTTTCTTTCTTTTTTTTTTTTTGGTACCCAGGATCGAACTCAGGATCTTGTGCTTGCAAGGCAGGCGCGATACCACTGAGATAGATCCCCCGCCCTGGTGCTGACTTTCTTGAAGGCCCAGTCTCTTTCTGGCTATTTAAATTCTAAATTAGCTCCCAATAATAGAAGGAGGTAGCGACCTGTGCTAGCAATAGTCTCAAGGTATCCTATCACCTGTCTAATCATGGTAGGTTTCAGTGGAGCAGGCTACCATATTCCAGTGGTGTACAAGGTGCTAAACTCCCATACCCCTTTCCTGGTTGCCTTGCTGTTGTCACGTGCCTGACTATAATAAAATTAAAAATCATTTGTAGGACACTATATAAAGTGCAGTAAGTTATGTGCTGTAACTATAATGAAGAGATAAATGAGAAAGTATAAATGCTTGAGTTGTTTAAGAAAGGTTTCTCAAGTGAACCTTAATTATTGGCCAGACCAGACCCAGGAGCTTTCAGGGTATAGCAGACATTATCCAATTTCCAACTGAGGACAGTTTTTTTGGCTGTGGAGGTACAACCATTTAATTAATGTTGGAACTAGTTGCTTGTGATTTTTGCTTCATTTAAAAGAATGCTTCTGCTTGTGAATTTCTTTTGACACTTAGTGCTGAATAGGAGGAATTTTGAACCTAAGTTAGTGATTTAGAATTTACTTACATGTTAAGTCTTTGGCTCTTGGCTAGAAGGATTGCTTAGGATGATAAGTTGCCTTGTAATTGAGATTTATATATGAAAAGATTCTAGAAAAACATTGGTAGACTTTAATGTTGTTCAAATAGCAATGGATATTTAAAAAATGCATTGTAGTATTTTTTTGTTGACTAGTGTAAAAACATCCTGCTTGTTCATGTCCCTGTATTTAAAAACAAATTTTCTTTCATAGGCACTAGACCATCTAATGCAAACTTGCCCTCAGTTCCAACAGTTGGTTCAGTTCTACAAGACCCAGTTTCAAATATGAGGTATGGAAGCCACTAATTTGGGTATTATAAATTATGCCTTTTATTGATTCTTGCTGTGTTTGCCCCTCCTCTCCCTCCCTCATTCCTTTGTTTTCTTCCTTTTATTCTTATTTCCCTTTTTCCTTTCCTTTCTCCTTTTTTTTTTTTTTTAAAAACAGATAATGACATTTAGAGGCTTGGTATTATTTTAGGAGTGCATTTTATTTAAAAAGATACGAAATGTAAAATATTTGTAAGAAATGGCTATTAGTAATAATAAATGCTACATGCATAACAGAGTTAAATAAACTTATGGCTTATGTTTCAAATAATTGTAAATCAAATGTTTTTAATTCATTGTTTTTTCCTATAAAAATGCGGAAATTGTAGACAGCAGTTTATCAAAGCCACTATAATACTGAATTATAGATAGATTTTTCTTGTCACTTAATTTTGTTTAATTGGAAGTATGAGTTTCAAAATTTAATTTGGACTTCTGTGAACATGTTTTTCTACTACAAGAGCTTTAGTGGACCCAGAGCTCTGGATTTTCCTTACCAGCTTACAAAAATATTACTCCACAGTAGGCACTGGAAGCATGGGCTTATATTTGTGACATCTTTCAGGACCAAGAAGATTTATGAGATATGAAGAGAGAAATAGCATTAAGGGTAGTACCAATGAGGGGATGATCACTGAGAGCAGAAACTCATATATATAAGTTTGCATTGCTAGCTCAGTGTGGCATAGTGCAAACTGGAAATACTCCTAATATGAACAGAGGGTAACTTATATTATTAGGTTTGCTTATAGGTCTGTGGCTACCTCTCAATTTACTGATATACAGGGGGCCTTAAAAAAAAACCTCTTAAATGTATATATTTCATAGAGATTACATATAGTTTGAGATCATTATTAATGTGCCCATATGTTAGAGTTCAGTAGAAAAGCACATGAACCATTTTCTTCAGTGTATACACATTTATTGAGTTTGTGTCATTGACTATAGCTGACAACTTAGAAATGAAGACATGATTCTTGAATCCAAGATACTTATGGTTTAGTGTTGAACAGACAAATCTGATGAAATCTTGAGCTTGTTGAGGTTATAATGGGGCTAAAAAGAAAATGCTCTTAGCTGGTGAGTTGACTTCCAGTAAGAACGCATACAAAATGTTGTTAACTGGGTTGCCAGCTGGAATCAGGATGGTGAGATAGATCAGGAGCATTTCAGGTGGAATGATCTACAGGCATAGCAGCAATGCCTCTTCAAGTCACATTTTATTTTTCACATAGTTTTACATTTCTGTGGAAATACACTTAAAAACTAGAAACTTGATAAATTCTATTGAGTAACTTGGGTAACATTTTCCCATTAGTATTACAGAGAGACTGGAACATGCTTTGGAAAAGGCAGCTCCTCTTCTGCGAGAGATTTTTGTGGATTTTGCACCTTTTCTTTCTCGGACACTTTTGGGCAGCCATGGACAAGAACTGCTTATTGAAGGAACAAGTAGGCAGTTTTTCTTCATTTATATTTACTTATATTTCAAGATTAAAAACTTAAATGAGTAATAAATACATGGTATTTCTTTAAGTATTTTCAACCTTTGATCAGGCTTCTTGTGAGAGAAGATTTACTCTGTATTTCCTCAGGCAGCACGTATCAGTTAAATAGAGGACAGTTTTTCAAGCAGTTTTATTTAAGAACGTAGACTGACATTAAGCACCAATCTTCGCTTCTAAATTGGAAGTTTTTAAGAAGCTGCAGGACTTTCATCAGTGATGATATAGTTAATTTTTTTCTTTCCAAAGTGCTTATGCTGGGTAACAGCTAAATCTCCTTATCTTTGTTCATGGTTGATGATTTCAGATAATACCTTTTGTTTTACTCAAGTTCAAACATCTTGAGTAAACACACCTATGTATATACTCCAGTAACTTTAAATATCACCCACCTTATAGCTTTAGTTGTCATATTTGTGGTTGTGTATCAGTAGTTGGATGATTCCTACAAGCTTTCTTAAAACTTGCAAAGAAGCCCCTCTTTTCAAAGATTTAAGTAGGTTATTAAGATACAGTGGACCCTTGCCTCATGTTTATGAGGGCTGGTTATAACTCAGGTTGGTCCATTGAAGGCTCATGCTCTGCTACACAGCATTCAAAGTCTCTCTGCTGTACACAGGCAGATCTCAGTGTCCTTAGAGAGACACTGGGCCAGTATTTCTCAGTTATCCCCACAGAAGAAGGGATGTCATGATCTTCTTTCTGGAACTCTTTAAGGGTTAAATCTCTATCTGACATCATCTGGAAGCACAAGCAGCCAGCATTCAGGTTGTAACTCATGACTTTGTTCATAAGTTAAAACTGAAATTCCATTCGTGACTCAAGTTGTTCGTATGTCAGGCTGGTTGTAACTTGAGGGTCCACTGTACCTGTATTGGAGTGTAATAAAAATGCAAAGTTTAGGTAATTTAATAGTTTAAGATGCTTGTAATGGAGGGTCACCCATGGGATACCAGCCCTTCATTTGACTACTAAAATAACTATTTAATTATTAAGCTTTAGTTAAGAATTTCATTTCTGCTATAATTGTATATGAGTGATCTCATTTCCAAAGAGTTGGGCTGGGGATTTAGCTCAGTGGTGCTGCACGCCTGTCTACCAAAGAGTCAAAAAATAGCGATGAATGTATTTGAAAGAGAAAGTTCTGTTTTTAGAAACATTCAATTAAATTTGGGGTGGTAATTTACTTTGATCAGTTAAGAGAAATACTTTATTTAGCTATGCATTATTTGATGAGGTAATGAACTTTTATCAACTAATAAAATTCTAAAATAATTGAATTGAAAAATTGAAGATTTTATGTTTATAGGGCTTTCTCCTTATTTTATTTCACATATTAAGCATTTATTTTAAAAAATTGATATGTGACAATTATATACTAATGTCTTTAAGGCAGCTTAGTAGTATAACAGATCTAATATCAGGTCTTTGTGGCCTCTGAAGTCCTTTCTTGTTTAAATATGCCACACTTCCTGTCTCCCAACAAATGTACTACCCTCTACCAAAAAAACCATTAATTTTTCAAATCAAACTATAAAATATTAGAAGGGACAAAAGAACATCTGTAAATCTTTCTAAGCCCAAAGTCCTTTTTATCCTAGTTGTTAATTATATTAACAGACATAAACGATCCAGATCAGGACCCAATGGTAGAAATTTTAATTCCTCTTGCATAGTGCAATAAGGATGATTGATCCAGTTGTAGAAAATTCTGAGTTTACTCTCTCATTGGAAGTAGGTTTTGAAGTTGCAGTATCACTCAGCTTCTTGTCTCTGGGTTACATTTTATGGAACTTGTCAAAGTTTCAGACCAGCAGAGGGCCAGAGCAGCGATGAGAGATGAGCTGCGCTCTACCCTTCCCTTTTAGTGGTGGCAGAATTAATTAGTTTGATGAGCTAAGTTCACCTTGGCCCTATAGAACCTACACTTTAGCCTGGTTGATGATGTGCTTGCCTAATGCAATCTATAAACATTCTTTAGCTTATTATTAGGCTAGTGCTAACAATGTTACCACCATTTCTAACATTGAGAAAAACAGCTCTAACAAAAAAAAAGTGATGGGTGAACAGCCTGTTTGATTTGAATGTGATTTGTAAAGCTTCAAAATGCCAACATATAACATCATTGAATTTAAGGCATTATTATTCAAAAAGGCTATAACTAAATAACATGAAGATAAAAGGAAATGCATGAAAGAGCTTTAATGGAGAAAAATGAAGGAGTAATGTTATAGGGTGTTTCAGAGCCACCAGGAGTTATTTTAGATATTACATATACCTTGGAACCTAAGCTTGTGTTTGCCCCTCAGAATATAGAATTAAAAATTGTAATTCTCTGTTTTTTGTAGTATACTGAGTAATTTTAATCCTAATTATTGACAATGCTTTCTTAAGACATTGGTTATATAATGTTCTTTGAATGAATTGCTTTAAATTTTACTAATAATTAATGCAAAAGAATTCTTTAGATGATATTAAGTACATTAAAGTTCTTGCCTAAGGCTATTTTTCCGGAACCAAAATAAAACATTAAAGAGAAAATGTAAATGAATTAATGTATAAGAAATCAGGAATATATAGCACAATGGCTTGCATTTCTGTTAAGGTTTAGTGTGAGGTCAGAGGCCAAGGTACTAATAAGAGTGTTTGGGATGTCTGCTGCCATGAAACAAAATGGAAACTTGATTGATAGCTAGAGGGTGGAAGGGAGAGAGTGTGGTGGAGAAAGCAAAGGTCAGGGAGCCATTTCCCTTCTCTGCATGTATAACAATCAGCTCTCTCCAAAACAAAATGTAGATGATATTGATCAACATGGCATATGCCGTGCACATTTACATGAGTACTGTGAAATGTCATTATATTATAATAAATGTTTCAGTGTTTTGAAAGTTGAAATCGTTTACAAAAATGATGGTAGTTTTGATGTTAGGTTTAAAGTAACCATGGAGTGCATCTTGTTGAGTAATATGGACAGATATGTTACAGGTACGAGTCTTAGAAAGATGATAATGCTCTATTTTAAACCAGCTGGAATAAAATTATGTAAAGAATTTGTCTCTTTTTTTTTTGCTTTATAATTTAAAATTTTTCTTCTTTAGGTCTTGTTTGCATGAAGTCTAGTAGTTCAGTTGTGGAATTGGTTATGCTACTGTGTTCTCAGGTGAGTACAAAAGTTGAATTAAAATAAATTCTCTTGCGTATATTTTGGGCATTAAAATTCTATTTTTGCATTACATTTTGAGTTTGCTATTTCAACATAATTTTATTTTTATTTTAAAAGGATTACTTCTTGTCCTTGATATTAGGAGATGATTTTAAAGCAAGTACTGAGAGGCACAGTACTTAAATGAGAAACACAGGTTTTTATAGTCACATTAAAAAGGTCTAGATCAAAAGGTAGAAACAGATGTATTTCTATACTTTGTGGAGTGCTTCTCTGATTCCACTGGGAATCATGGGTTTACTTCCCTTTTATGCAGAGGTTATAAAACAAGTGATAAATAATTTTGAATCCTTGTCATTGCTAATTATTTTTGACATACACAGTAGACTTGGGAAAACATCAACAAAAATGTGGCAGCCACCATAATAAGATGTAGAAAATAAGTTCCTAAGAGCAAAATTACTTTCATTGTTCAGAACATTATACTTAAAGTGATATACTTTATTGACTTTTGAAATATATTTAAAAATCATGTATCTTATGATCATTTGTTTTTGTTTTGCAAGTAAACAGATGAATGTTTTTATTGAGAGTTTTCTTTGTAGTCTTTTAAGAGTGATATCTTGCTGGCAGTAAATTCCCCTACTTAAAACTTTAAAATAGCCTTTTTTAATAGGAAGGGTTTTGGTCTAGAGGTCAAGGGTTTTGACCCATTTCAACACCTTTGACCTTCATTTACAACTCTCATGGTTTACTTGCCTAATGAATAAGGATAATGCAAAATTAATGTTTCTTTGCATCGATTTATTTGTTTTGATGCCTATATTGCCAAATTTACTTAGACTGTGCTGATGGACATTTCATGAATACAAATTAAAGAATCATAGAAGGTGTGAAAAATCAATACTATGCATTATCAATAAAGTGCCTTAAGAATAAGACTAGAGATTCTATCCAATGGATTTTTTAAATAATGAACTCATAGAGTATTTATGTTTCTTAGTGAGTTTATTATTAGAGTTAGTGAGAATCATGTTTTTATAATTTAATTATCCCTTTACAAAACTTCATTTTTAAAAAAGCTGACTTGATAAAATTTCTCATATAGCCATCTGATGTGAAATAATTGATATTCTATCTCTTGACTGGAAATTGCTATATACTGTTCTTAGTTACGTGAAATTACCCTTTTAAGAAGCCTTCACTTAAGGTTTCTTCATAAGAATATAGGTTTCTTGTTTATAATGATATAACTTCCATAGGTGAGTTTTGATCATGAAGTACACTTTCTAGTTTAGAATTGAATACTTTTTGATATATATGTTATTTAAGATATAGCATATTACATATTTGAACATTAGAAGCTACAAAGATAAAGAATGACGTGTTGTGACATACCTATTTGTTGTGTATGTCACAGTGCTGATTAGTACTTATCCAGTCAAATGAGATACCAAGATCACTTGGTAGAGGAACTTTCAAAAGTCAGAAATTTTCAAGGTTTTTGTTTGAGTAACATACATTAGTGGATATTTGAAGTCCTTAGCATTTTTTTTATGAGTTCTTCAAAAGTTCCATGGCATCTGTACAAGATGTAGCACAGTGTGAAAAATGATGTGAAAAATGAAGCCAGAATTAGCTCCAGATGTATACAGATTGTTCCAGGGTGATAATTACATTTTTCACTTTGAATTTTCCTAATTCAAAGAGGTCAACTTGGTAATCACAAAAGTGATTTATTTTGTTAAGAAGTGAACTGTCTTTTTCTACATGAAAGCTTGAGATATGAAATTGAATTTCAAGTCGACATTTTGCAAATACGGGGTGGGGATGTCTTGAGTTTGATTGATAATTTTTTTTAGTCTGAGATAGGGTGGGAAGTAAAAAGCTACCATCTTGCTAAAATTTTAATTAATTTTTTAAGAGGAGATGGAGAGGATTGAGTGCCAAAGATCGAAAGATCAGGTCAAAAACTCCCTTTTAATCACATAAATAATGGGATATGCTTATGAACTTAGCATCTGCAAATTTGATTTAGAACTTTACAAATTAGTTGGTGTTAATTTCATGACAGTCATCCGTGTTCTGATTATTTCTCTTGAATTCATTTAAAACTTACTTTCTTTTTCCAATTTTCAAAATAAGGTGTTCAATCACATTTTACTGCAAAAGAGAATTAGAGCCTAAACTTAAATGTGGAAATGATTACATAGAGTTTGCTGCCACTAAGACCACACAGATTATTGTATATTGTATATGTACTTCAACTAGCATTACATTTTTCAGTGTTCATTAACTCAGTCGATTGGACAACATTTTATATTTTGTTTTATTTAAATTTTAATAGCATTGAGGCAAAAATGTTACTATTTTGAGTTGAAAGCTCTCAGCAATAGTGAGCATTAAATACATACACATACACATGTAACTATATATTAAGAATTATTACTGTGGTATAATTTTTTCCTGTGCTAAGATTGAATCCAGGGCCTCAAACATGCTAGAAAAGTGTTCTACTTTTGAGCTACATCCTCAACATAAATATAGCATTGAGGCAAAAATGTTACTATTTTGAGTTGAAAGCTCTCAGCAATAGTGAGCATTAAATACATACACATACACATGTAACTATATATTAAGAATTATTACTGTGGTATAATTTTTTCCTGTGCTAAGATTGAATCCAGGGCCTCAAACATGCTAGAAAAGTGTTCTACTTTTGAGCTACATCCTCAACATAAATAAATTAAATCCCTTTATTTCTTAAACTAAGACTGCACATCTTCTTTAGGAAACTGTGTGTTTTCTGATGCACACAAGAGAGTTGAACAAATTTGTAGCTGCATTTCAGATTCAGTTTGTCAAAGCATGTAACTTAATTGTTTTAATTGTGCATGTGTATAAACTTGGTAGAAATCTATATGGATTTAAATTAAATGTTAAATGTTTGTAATAATAGGACTCCAGTGTTCTATACCATGTTTATATCTTGCTCATATGACACTAATATTATTTTTGAAAGAATTGACATTGCATTCAAGGCCACTTTATAAAAGCATTACGTTGCTCATCCTAATTCAGTCTGACATACATTCCAATAACACTACCTCCCTTCTTGGGTTTAAAGCTAAATTTATGACTCTGCATTGTGAAGTACATCATTTAAAAATGGTTTCAACCCAAAACACCTAATAAATAAATAATGTGTATGGCTACTCAGTAGTAGACTTTCTAGACTAGAAATCATTCCATCGGATACTCAGCAGTCCACTATCTGAGAGGGCTGTCAGATAAATCTTGTGGTCGCTGCATTCGTGTCCTGTAAATCACATATTATTGTCTGAGCCTTCTGCCAGGTCATCTATTCTTTTCCCATTTATCAGAAATGCATACAGTATATAGAAAAACTAGATGCACCATGCAGTCTGGCCCAGCATCCTGAGTAATTAATTTGCAAAGGATAATTTAAAGTATTGCCTTAATCTGACTTTTCTTTAAGGATTTTACAGAAATCAAAACAGGTGGTTCATTACTATTTGGGGAAATATTTTGTTCACATAAAGGTAATAAGGTTTGGTCATTTTTGACCTAGGTGTTTCTGTGCTTCTAAATTATTAATTAAAAATTATAATATTCATAATAAGAACCAGGTAATTCTATGCCTAGGATTCTTTTATGTCCTTTTTGTGTTTGAAGTTTTTTTGAATCTTAATAGCAAAATGCCTCTCTTTTTCTTTACTCCCCTATAATTTTTTCTTTAGTGCCAAGTATTTTTCTTTCTTTCTTTTTTGGGTGCCAGGGATCAAACTCAGATCCTTGCCCTTGGGAGACAGGCGGCGGAACCACTGAGCTAAATCCCTGGCCACAGTGCTATGTTTCTTTCTTTGAGGTTATCCCTTCTCAGTGTATAACACTAGTGCCATTCCTTTTGTTTTTTTAAATTATGAACTTTTCCTTTTTATAGTTGTTATGGGTATTTGATTACGAATAGATTATTAAGAAAAAAATTACCATTATTATGTTTTTTATTGCTCGAATCTGACTTCTTACCCTGCCTAACTATTTAAAATTACCCCAGTATGGCATCAGATTAATGTCTTGCCTCATGCAATATGCCCCCCTTTTGGTAATTCTTTTTTTTTTTGGTACTGGGGATCAAACTCAGGACCTTGCGGTATAGTTTGTATCCCTCTTGTCTGTCTTTATCTTAGTCCCTATCATAGCATTTATCATGAATTGTAATAGATTAGTGCTAATTTGCTTTATTGTTCTCTTTCACTGTGTTCTAGACTCTGTAAGGTAATGATTATTTTTGCTTTTCCTTTAAAATATACTTAATACCAGGCAGCAGAAGTGAGTATGGGTGAAGAGAATCAAACCTGAAGATATGTGTGTGTATCAATTCCTCAAGATGAATGTGATTACTGTATAGTGCAAGCATATAATAACAGTAAAGAAAAAAACAGTTGTTTCTGCTGTTAAAAAATCCCCTAATATCTAGCACAGTTCTTAACATATGAAAGTTGCTCTATGAATATTTATGGGAAAAATAAATCATTCTGCTCCTAGCAAAATTACAATCTCTTCTGGACAGCTTTCCTTGACTTCTTCTCTCTTCCCTTCTGTCCTCAGCTTAAATGAAGTATTCATCTAGGACTCTCACTGACCCATGGAATAGAGATTTTTATGTGTATTTAGATTGCCTGTGAGTTTTCTTTTTCTTACATTGGAGTGTAAGTTTCTTGAAGGCAGATGCTTTTCATTTTCTGTTCTATGTCTAATTTCAGCATAATTATTATTGAAGCAGATGTTTATATAATTGTATGATGAACAAATGAATGGAGACATGGATCATAAATTGCCATTTTTTTCACTTTTGGCTTTTGAAACTTTACATTATGAAATTTCACCATACGTTTCAATAATTACTTTTTATATTACCTTTTCTTTAGATCAGCCACCCTGGCATTTCCAAATATTGTGATTATATTTGTGTA